CAACGTGACTGTGTGGTATGGTGGCTGCACAGCACTGGAGAGGAAACAACTGACACGGGTGGTGAGAACGGCACAAGGCATTGTGGGATGCCCCCTCCCGGACCCGGACTCTATTTACATGGGCCGGGTCAAGAAGAGAGCTGGATCCATAGCCATGGATTCAAGCCACCCGGGCCACAGACTGTTTGTGCCGCTGCCATCAGGCAAGCGGTTCAGGAATATACGGACTACAACAAACAGAAACAGTTTCTTCCCCACAGCCGTCAGAGCCATTACTCCCTGCTGCCCCCTGCCGCCCCCTCCCACACATATCATAACCTCACATACACCCCCCACCCCCACACACAGCCATATGGTTCTGCACTTTGACCTTTGTCACATCATCTGCACTTTACCATAATTGGACCTGCTGCTTCTTCTTTGGTGTGGTTGAGTGCCTTCAGTTAATTTTAGTTGTATATATTATTATTATTGTGTGTTTTTTTATTTAGTATTGTATATATTTGACTTTTTGCACGGGAGTTGCAATAGAAATTTCGTTGAATCCTGTTCAATGACAATAAATGCTATTCTATTCTATTCTATTTTAGTTGCTATGACACTGAATGAGGAAACAGATCATTTGTCTTACTTTTTTTTCTTTCAGGAAAAAATATATTTGTAGTTACAAAGTAAAATAACTGGCTTCTGTCATATTTTCAGAAAAAACAATGATTTAATAATTTTGTGATATTGTGGCATTAAAATGGCACCACAGCATTTCAATGACTCTTATCTAAAGATATTTTAACAGCAAACTTGCTGTTAAAATATTTTTTCTTAACTGCTTCAATTTTTTGCTAAAGTATCTTTAAAGCAGAGGGTCCATATTTGGATTTTACAGTTTTAACTTTTCACTCATGTACAAAAACTTCTTTCCCCTGAGAATGAAATCCATAAGAATCCAATTAAAACACGTTTTTATTCACCGCCCAACGGTTATTAAATCACAACATGTTCATTGTTCACACGTGAGACGACCTCTTATGTAATCCTGGAGAAACATTAAGTCATTGCTCATTTTCGCAACAAAATCAGAGTGGGCTGTTTGAGCTGGTGGTGTGAAGAGATTACCAAATGATCCGACCCTCAGACAGTTTATTTGATAAAACCACAAATCCCTCCATAAAATGTACATTGCCACAGTTCCCATGAGCAGACATTATCTCAAAAGTGAACATAAAAAACATTTTCTTTGGGAAAAATCCAACGTTAAGACTCACCAATGAGTCTGCAAGATGAAATAAAATCCAAGGGGCTGGACAAGATGGAGAAATCTCCTACAGAGACTCATGGTTGATTATTTGGTTTAATAACACATTAGCTGTTTAGCAGGATATGTATGAGCTGTGGGACTCTGGGGCATCTGGGTGGTTTTTAAGGATCTAACTGTGTTCTTGGTATAAGCAGAGCTTGTTCCCTGTTCATGAACATCATCTCCTGGAGATGATGGAGTCTGGTTTGGAAACCTGGGATGACAGCTTTGCTTTTCTGAGATACTGATGTTCTCTTGGCTTCTCCACCATGACCTCCACCATGACCTGGAGTGGTGAGGAAGAGAGTTAGCTTCACATTTCTACAATCCACAAAAATGTGTCAAATGAACCAACTCAGTCTGTTCACCTCCTTGCCTATGGGGGCGCTGCAGCAAGAACCACAGAAGGAAACAACACAAAAACATGTGAAGAAAACATAAGTAAAACATCCTCCTTCACAAAGGGAAAATACAGAGTAGTGTCAGTTTTTCACAGTTGTACGGTTTCTCTTTGGCAAAGGAGCCATTTATTCTGTGAGCGCTAGACTAGCCTGTGTTTATTTACCCAGAATGCCTTGTGCTGTGGTCCACTTCCTGCATTTAGAGCAGTCTCCTGTCTGCATGTCGTTTGCATATCAAACTGCATCATAGTTCATGTTACCAAAGCGACAAACAAAGTGATAAATTTGACTCTAATTCTTTCATTTGTGATCATGTTTAGTTTGCTGCTGCTCTCATTCACATCTGTTTCTCCTCTGAAATTCTCAACATATTTCCTTCATCAGCTGCTGATGTTTTCCTGTCTACCTGCTTGGTGTCTCTTACTTGGTATCTCACTGGTTTGTTTCTTCTTCAGGACTTTACAAATGGTTTCCTCTGGCTGTGGTGTTTGTGTGCATGGAAATCTCTGCATTTAATGTCTTTTGAAACCTGAAACTGCTGTTAGTTGATAAATGTTCAGTTGCTCTTACTTCTTGCAACAGCTTCTGGAAACTTGATACAACCTTATTCAAATCCGTTACCTCTGTGCTGGTTCACTTTAACTAACACTTAGATTTCCACAGGAAGGAAAGTCGATGTGTTTTTAAACACTTATCTCGTCAACAGATATGTTTGTATCTGAATCTCCAACAGATCTGATCCTGACCGGGTTTCGGTGGAGGTCTGGCCCGGTTTCGGTGGAGGTCTGGCCCGGTTTCGGTGGAGGTCTGGCCCGGTTTCGGTGGAGGTCTGGCCCGGTGTCGGTGGAGGTTTGGCCCGGTTTCGGTGGAGGTCTGGTCGGATTGAACAGCTGTGAGATGTTTTGCAGAACCTAACTTGCTCTCAACTCGTCCACAACATTCGCCTTGACCTGCTGGGTTTCCTCGGGTCTTCATCATCCTGGTTGTTCTCTGATGTTCGCAATAAACCTTTTGACATCTTCACGGAACAGTTGCTTTTATACCCAGATAAAATTACCCACAGGTGGACTCAGTTTACTTTAATCGGTGTGGAAGTCATTTGATTTTTTTTAGGCTTTAGCAAAAAAAGAATCCAGGTTTATTTCTGTTGTCCACTAATGAGACCCTGCCCGTTTATGTTTCCTCTTTTATTGAGGTGAATCACACATGTTGGGACAGCATGTTCATTTCATGGGGTTTACAAGGTCTTTTGGGGCTGTTTTTGGGGGAACCCAACCAAGTGACTCTTTGGAGTCCTATCCACCACAGGATCTGCTTCCCAGATGTTTGGATTGTCCCTGTGAACGTCCTATGATGGTTCACCACAACGTTTATCCTCGGTCAGACTGACAGAAAGTCAGCGAGACAGCTTCCCCTAAATCTGGCCCCCGAAAAGATGAAACAGCCACTGAGCTGCTTTTTGAGGTTTCGTCGTTTTCATGGTGTTTTCTTCCAGCTGACCTCGGAAGAGACCCATTAACAAAAATGCAGAAATATTATCTGCCAAAGTAGTAGTGAAGCTGAAAACGGCTCGTTTGGGACTGAAATGATGAATGGATGATGGAGGATTTATAACATCCTCCATCAGTAGATGTTGGGTGAAATGAGCGATCACAGACCTCACCCTCCCTCGGTTTCACCTGGAGGACGGTGAACAGCCGCGAATCCTCAGTGTTGGTGATGCAAAGCCGAAGTCTTAGCCTGTCAGTCGGCAGAAGGTGTTTCTGATCGTCTTTAGCCCGACGAACGGAGGGAGAACATCTCTGGGTCTTTAGTTTGAAATGGGTTTGACTGAACAGAGACGCCTGGGAGAAGATTCAGACTCCAAACATCCGAGTGAAAACGTCCAACTGACGATGAGGAAACGCAGAAACGACCTGCAGTCAGATCCAAGATGGAGGAGAAGCTGGACGAGCTCAACGAGACATCCATCCATCATCCATACATCTACCCATCATCCATCCATCATCCATACATCTACCCATCATCCATCCATCATCCATCCATCTACCCATCATCCATCCATCATCCATCCATCTACCCATCATCCATCCATCATCCATACATCTACCCATCATCCATCCATCATCCATCCATCTATCCATCATCCATCCATCATCCATCCATCTACCCATCATCCATCCATCATCCATCCATCTACCCATCATCCATCCATCATCCATCCATCTACCCATCATCCATCCATCATCCATCCAACATCCATCCATCCATCATCCATCCATCTACCCATCATCCATCATCCATACATCTACCCATCATCCACCCATCATCCATCCATCATCCATCCATCTACCCATCATCCATCCATCATCCATCCATCTACCCATCATCCATCCATCATTCATACATCTACCCATCATCCATACATCATCCATCCAACATCCATCCACCCATCATCCATCCATCCATCATCCATCCAACATCCATCCATCCATCCATCATCCATCCATCATCCATCATCCATCCATCATCCATTCATCATTAATCCATCCATCCATCATTTGTTTTCATTATGTCTGATAGTTTTCTGTTGGAAATTTGGTGATGTGATGTGAGCTGCAGACTGAGAGGTCAGGTGGAGGTCAAATGCAAGTTCAATTCAGACATCAATCCAGTTTAATGTGTGTGTGTGCAGGGTGGTGTGTGTGTGCGTTAGAGATTTTGTGAATGACCTTTGAACTCTTTTTCTGGTGTTTAAATACATTTATAAGACAATCCTCGTACCTGGTGCCTTTCACATGGAAACATAAACAAAATCAAAGTATCACTTTTTCTAACAACACAGTCAATTTAGGAAAGTCCTAAAATCTCAAGTTTGAAAACGATAGCTTAAGGTACTTTTTCTACAGCTAAAGATGGTAATGGGTGACTTTTGACCCACAAGACGACACAAAGGTTAAGTGAGGAAAAACAGAAGGAATCCATGAAGTGGAAAAATGTTTCCACACCACTGCAGACAAGCTGGTACGGATGTTTGTTCTTCACATGTGAGTAGATTAAAAATAAACGGGGCAGCTTGGTGTGTGAGGATGGCTTTGTGAGGGAATCCCTGGAGGGAGCCGCCAGACTCCAGGTTACGGAGCCGAGCCGAGCCGAGCCGAGCGGACCACAGTGAGAGCGTGACACAGGTCAACCAGAGCAAGCTTTAATTTATGGTTCTCATTGCAGGAGCTGCTTCTCCTCTGCATCCTCCTCCTCTTCCTCCTTCCCTCTCCGCCTGTTATCACACGGCTCATTATCCTCCCTGCCTCTGGAGCGTGCAGACGCCTCTGAGCCCCTCCATACCGGGGTTTTCCTTCAGCGCTACCTGACCCGATCCGTCTGGACATACGAACGCAGCGCCAGCGTTCAACCCGCAGGTGTTCAGGTCTACAGTTCCTGCAGGGTTTACCGGTTGGGGACTAAAGAGTTTTCTTCTTTCATTTCACACCTGGAGGCTGCAGAGCAGCATGGACTTCACTCACTTCTGGCTTCTCGCCACCACTCTGATGCTGATCCATCAGTTTCAAGGTAAGACCCGTCCTAAACGTCATCATTTAGTCTTCTCCTGTCCATATGGGTGAGGTTCTGTCTCGAAGCCAAACTGAGAACTTTGCTTTAAAATTGCTTCAATATGCATCCTCTCACTGTATTGCAGTGCAGCAGCTCCTGCTCTGTGATCTCACCAAGTTAAAGGACTGTGTCACTGGGTAACTGAGGACACATAGTGCATGTTTTCTTCTTGGACTTCCCGGCTTTGATATCAGTTGCATTGCAGAGGATGAGGGAACTTGACAGGATGATGGCAGCTGTTAATGTGAAGGGCTGGAACCGACCAAAGGTGAGGAAATGTAATAAAAGGGATGAAAGCATCGAATCTGGGTGTGGAAAGAATAAACTGGGTTAACTACAACCTGATGGTCAGTGTTGAGCCTGTGCTGCCTGGATAAAATCCCAGTTTGTCTTGTTTAATGAGAAGACGGTTGGGTTTGATGATGAAACGTGAAATAAAAGCAACATTCTGCTCATTTGTTCCAGAAAGTGAATCTGTTTCAGTTGGAAGTTGATTATTTGCACCACAGCTGAGGCAGGTTCGTCTCTAAGTGGTTGCAGCTGCAGGTGAGTGTTTTAAAGGGGTTTCTATGTAAAACATGTAAAAGCCTGGCCTGATTTGGCTGACAGGTGTAAATAAATTAGATTTTTGTCATGTGGTAACATGCAATAATGCCTTCCTTGACAGATTCACATATTAGCACAGACTTTGGTGGATAATAATAATTGAAATTACCACTCAGGGTGGGACTGGCCCAGATTTTGGGGTGTGTTTGTGTGCTGTTATTCAGTCAGAGAGATAATTTATGGATTCTTTATTCCCCGTGGTAAATTGATGCTTTTCACAGTTGTGTGCACTGATGAGTTTTCCAGGACAGAAGGACGTTTGTAACGCCTTCAAGAAACCAAATATGTGAAGAAACTTTCCCCGCCTGCCCAAAGAGGCTGGATAATGCCTGAGGAATGTAATGCAAAACATCACAGGGGGGGTCATGTCTGCACACAGGAAAACCTGGAATGTTTGACCCTGAGGCTGCTGGCCTTCTACCTGCAGGTTTCTGTCTGCCCCTGTGTGAACCCAACAGATAAAAACACCCTTATAGGAGCTCTTTGTGTCCTGCAGAATTTAATTTTAAATTGGATTTATAACTTTATTTGCACCGTTGTTCTGCTATGACTGCATGAATAAGTTGTGAAAACAAAACGTGCCCTCAGGTTCGAACATCTCATGCTCAGCGAAAGACCCGTGATTAGTTTTAAAAGGTTTTTCATTTCACATGAATCCTTCCTAAGTGATAGACGTTGTTAAATCCAGAGATTGTTAGGAGAAGGTATGTAATCTGGAGTTTATGAGTTTGGCTGCCACTCCCTGGTTCAGTTTTACCTCAGACTGTTAACCCAGAGGAATCTAAGATCAGAGTGCTACTGCTGATGATGCCTAAAAGCTCACAGGACCCCCACTTTAAATCAGTTTAATTTGAATGCATAAAGACATAAAAATAGAAAATGAAGCCATAAATTAAACAAATCTCTGCCTGTAATGCCCTCGTTTCTCATCGTTTCTCATCGTTTCTTATCGTTTCTCATCATTAAAAGACGTCGGATTAAAAGACTCGGCGCCATAAAAGTTTCTTTTACAGCTGCAGAAACGTCATGCAGCCATTTCCTCTCCAGCTTATTGTTTCCCTGACTGTAAGGTTTAAAGTTATTCTCTGCTCAGATAAAAACAGTTTTTAACATAATAAATTCTGATGTAAAACAATCTGATCCAAAACAGCAGAAAAACTGATCTTGTTGTGCATCTTCCTATTGTTTTCTTTCATTTACCGTTTAAGATAAATAAATCAATCTTCATTGTTTCAGGATTGTTTGGATCACATTCAGAATGCAATTCTTAAATACATGAACAAATTCTGTAATTTTTATTTTTTAAGTTAGATTTTCTTCAAAAGGTTGTTTTTTTGTTTTCCACCATGTAAAAAAAGATTTCCAACTTCCCCCAACTCTACAAATGTTCAAATTATTAAATGAGCAGATTGTGATGTCATCGCTTTGCAGTCTTCTGATTGGTTGATTCACTCTGACCGACCTGTGGATGCATTTTAAAGCAAAACCTCAGACAAACAGCTTCCTTGTGTGACATCATGGAAAGCAGCCAAGCTGGACTGCAGCTGAAGATGCTCACATGAAAAGGAAGAGACCATTAGTCCAAATGTAAGAAATAAAATAAATTGCAGATTAAAATGCACTCCTTTCTAATAGACGTTAAATCCAGAGATTGTTAGGAGAAGGTATGAGGAATGAGATTAAACTGCAGAGTTTGGCAAAGTTTAAAATGACACACTTAAAACATTCCAGGTTTTTCTGGTAGGCAAATATTTGAAAACCTTTAAAATATGGGATTTAGTTTAGAATTGAATGATTATTGATACTTAGACTGGCAATTTCCCTCATTAAACTCGTCTGGTTTAGCAATAAATGTAAGCAGTGTATTTAAGTTAATTTGCATATTCTGGGTCAGATTTGTTAGATTAATTTAGAGTTAATGGATACTTGGTGATAAAAGGGCTTTATATGATGAACACATGTTGAAACGGCCCAACATCAGGTCTCATTTAGTTCTCCCCTGATATTAAGATCAGCCTAACTGCATCTGGACTCATTTAGGTCAAATTTAAGACCTGAATTAAACAGAATTAATTCTGTTTAATTAAATAGTTAAATAGTTTTAGATTTAATGTTAAATAGTTTTAGATTTAATGTGTTTTTCTCTGTCTGCCATCTGAGATGTGGAGGAGAGCAAGACAATGCAGAGAACAAAACCTGCATGCTGTCTGTGCAGAACCGACCCGGTTCTGCATCTGCTCCTTTCTGCAAGAAACAGACGCCAGCTCCAAGTCACTTAATATTTTATTAGCTGATGGTGAAATCATTCACCTTTATCCTCCTAAATCTGACCTCAAGTTGATTTATTTGATAGTTTAATGTCTGACATCTAATACAGTTTAATGGAAGAAAATATCAGTTTTAATCCTCGAAATCAGAGCAAAAGAGAAACTGTACAAGTGCTGCAGAAAAAGCAAAAACTTTCAAAAGTGTTGAATATTTTATCTGAGACACTGGAGGCTGAGAGAAAGCCGAGAGCGACCGGTCCCAGTTGAGCAAGAGAAGAAACGACTTTCTGGAGGAACAAAGAGTCATAAAAAACTCCAGTTCAGAAAAAACTTCTACATTCTGAAGTTTGAGAAAAAAAGTTCTAATATGAAAATAAGAACTCTGAGGGAAAAAGTCAGAATTTAGCAAAAAGATTCAAATTTGATTAAAATGAGGATTATTGGGGGAGAAGTAATAATTAGAGAAAAAAATCTAAAAACAAAAGTCATAATTCTGAGAAAAATGTAAACTTCAGAAGAAATAAGAAAAATTCCAGGATAAAAGTCATAATTCTGGAAAAAAGAAAAAAGTCAGAAGCCAAAGAAAAAAGAAAATTGTTTAGATTAAAATGAGGATTCTGGGGAGAACTGATAACTTTAAGAAAAAAGTCAGAATTTAGAGAAAATGTCTCAATTCAGCAAAAAAAGTCAAAATTTTGAAACTAAAATCAGAATTCTGAGGGAAAAAATTCTGAAAAATCTGTATTTAAGGAATTTGAAGGAGAAATTTAAAATTTCTTTTTCAGGCCCTGAAATCCTCCTCCGTAAATTTAAAGCTCAGCGATCCTTAATATTTTTCCATAATTGCTTCCTTCCCTTTTCAAATATTTAATTTGAATCACTTTCATAAACAAAGTTTCATCTCCACATGAAGTTTATTTATCCAAACGATTCTCTCGTTCTGCGCGTCTCCCACTCGGTTTCCTATCGAATCGCCTCAGCCTGAGGACAGACGCACCCAAACCTTCATCCATCTAAATTATATTCCAGCTCAGTCCGGTTCCAATCAAAACTGGAACTGAGCCTCCTTCGGGTCGGTACCAAATCCTGCAGGAAAATGAAATCAGCATCTCCATACCAACCTGTCAGCAGCAGGAATCATGAACTCTCTGAAATGTTGGACTTCAGAGAACCAGAACCAGCAGATGAGCGACTCTCAAACCATCCATGACTGCAGAACTCTGTGAAGAACTTCTCCTCCTTCAGATTCTAAACCAAATCAGACGTTTCATTTTTATTTCTGAAGAGGATTTTGTGTCTGGTTCAGTTTCAGACTGTTGAGACTTTTGAATCTCTGACTTTACCTGCAAACTCTGTGGCCTATGCAACTATCTGTGCTGCTTGAACACATTTTCCACAATACTTCTTCCTTCCACTAAACTTTCTATTCGCTTGGATACAGCACTCATAGTCAAGTTCTTCAAAATCTCCAGGAACATCATCAAGATGAAGGAAGTCAGCAGTTTTTCCCTTAACTGCATCAAATATTATGGTATTAAAAATAATTTTTAATGGTCGCACAAAAGTTTCAGTTTATTTTTATGTGGGCAGCAATTTGAAAAGTGAAAAATTTCACAGCAATACTGTGAATTCATGTTCAGTTTGTGAGGGAAAGATTTGATGCAGGTCTCCTCTTTGCAGGTGAATCTGGAGTATTTTTTTCTCCAGATTTCAAACATGTTATTCTGAGATGAATCCTCTATAAAACACTGTAATTAGTCGATATGAGCCCACAGAGACGGATTGATCCCAGATTAATGATGGAAGTTCAACAGTAGATCGAGTCCTGCAGGGTCCGGCCTCCTGGCGGTCCGCTGCCCTCCTTCAGCCCACCAGGGGCTGTTGCTTTTGGGCCGGATGGTGCCGACCCCCCTCTGCGCTGCAGGATCCTTCCAGCAGTTCTCTGTGTTCAAGCTGGAGACGTTTGGGCTCCAAATGTGCCAGGAAGGAGTTTAGCTTGGCTCTTCTGTTGGACTCGGCACCGTCTGTTATGTCCAAAGAAACCTGAGTTTGCACAGGTCAACCTTTTGTTTTTCACTGCAAACA